AAAAAAGTTTAAGAGTTGTATTGCGGGTTTTGGTGGGTTTTTGAGTGTGGGGGGGGGGGGGGGGGGGGGGGGGGGGGGGGGGGGAGGGAGAATGGCTTAACACTAATGGGATTTAAAAGAGATTCGCACTCGAATTGAACACAACAAATGGATCAACTGCTTCGGTCAGTTGCTCTTCTTTGGACAACCTGAAAAAAATTTCAAGTTAAAAACAATGTATTTCTGTTTTTCGGGTATGTTCATGTACGATGAATCGGCACTGTTGACGGTTGAGCTCTTGGCATCTGGTAAAGATTGGTCGGAAACTTAGTGCAGGAATCCCCTCTGAAGATGAGCTATCGTCAGGTCAGGATGAGGCGAACAGCCGAGTGATAATGCGAGTTATCTAACAACCCCAGTATGGACGGTGAAATACAATTAATGCATTTGGTTCGTTGTTCTCATCAGAATGCACAATCAAACCGGATCCACGCACCTACGCACACAGATCTCGTTCACAAAGTTATGCTGTCAAATTGTTCAGGTACCAGTTAAATGTGTTACAAGCAGGATAATTGCAGCTTATGGAGTGCTATTTCATATATTAAGTGTATGCGATTGGGTTGCTTTCGATCGTGAATTTGCCTCACAGCCAAATTCTATGTGACTACTTCAGATCATCTGTATCCTCAGATCTTACAGATGAGTGATGCTTCCAAAGTTGAATGTACTAACGACATTCCAAAGCTTCTAAACGGCACATTCACTAGTGGAAGATATACAAGGTAAACGTGGAAATTGGNTTGTGAACTTGTATTGTGCTCTTAACCTCTTGATCACTTCGCATCCAAATACCATTCATTCCTTCCATTCCATTTGTTATTATGCTTCAGCAGCTGTTGAACGCGGTAAATTGTGTGATTTGAATTTGAACTCTTTCAGAACAAATGAAAGATTATCTCAAAAACATAGTTAATTGTGACTCTAATTTAATTACTTTAATTGTGACTTTAATTATTGACTTTGTGACTTAATTAATTACTTAGGTGACTTTAATTAGTTGTGACTTGATCGTGGTTAATTGAGCATATTTATCTTGCCTTGATGATTTGTCCAGATAAGTTACAGATATAAGGCTCATTTTCTCGTGCAAATTTGCGTATGTACCTTATCTTTTCGTGTTAAAAATGAAACTTGCTACGAGGAACATGGAATGATTTTGTTCGCGAAGTGCATCATACCAATGAAGTAATAGTACTAGCCTCTCTAAATTAAATTTCTCGTTTTCTGAAGTTTCACCTTAAGTCATCACTTTTCTGTAGCAAGATATTGTTAAGATTTCAGAGCAAATGGTGTTCAATTTCGTTTCACATGCAATTTCCATAGCCGTTGGTGCTATTTATCCATCTTTTCAAACGATCAAGGTGATTCGGGAAGGAAGCACAGCAATGTTGGTCGGTTGTTTTCTTTTCGGTCCCGTTTTTGATTCCAAATTTATTGAATTGGTTTCTGCAGATTTGTCAGCCTCGTTGAAGTTTATATTTATTGTACTTAAATGGTCTAACGAACAACATATTTAGATCAAATGGTTGAAGTATTGGACAGTGTTCTCGAGTATGCTGGTCGCTGATACTGCTCTTGATGCATTATTATTATCTTACCTTATCCCAGGCTATACACTCCTGAAAATTGCTCTTCTCGGATGGGCGGCAAGTCCGTACACGAATGGTGCCGAAATTATTTTCGACAAGGTTCCATTTTCTGAGCTGTTAAAACCTTTATTCTGCTCATTTTTGTCTCGTTGTTTAAAAAAATTGGAGAATTGTATTTTCTCCGACTGTTTATTTATGGTTCAATTATGGATTGATTGTTTACTGTTTCATCTCTCCTTGCAGTTCGTATTACCCTTACTGGAATCATATGAATCGGATTTCGACGCATTCACATCACGTGTGATATCTGCTGGACAAGGGACAGTCGAACGAATCTGGAGCAATGTCCTTGCTTGGTTTGTTTCATTATTTCTGGTTTTGAATGATGCCTTATTAACGATCCCGTCAGTCAATTTTAGAATGACAATTATATTTCACGCTTCTTCACGTTTCCGATGAACCGAAGAATTGTTTGAAATATCCCATTGATCATTTTAGTTTTGCATCAGCTCACTTGTTCATTTCTACGGAATCTCGTCTGAACAACTCATTTATTTTTGTTTTATAGTACACGAGATGCAGTGTTCAGTATAATGTGGAGGAGAGAGTCGCACTCATTGCAGTATCAACGTTCAGTTCAAACGCCAATCAGAACTGGTAATTGTTTGAATGAGTCCATTCCGTGGATAGCCCAGAATTTTATTTATTTTGGAAACATTTGACTTAAAAGATCTCGGACGAATCAATCGAATTTTCTGGTCGTTTTATCACTCTACCTCTTGGTTCATTCTCTAGTAATACTAAACGTTTGAGTCAAGTGCTACATGATATTAAACTGAAACTTTCGTTCATCTCAAGCTGCTTTCTGCTCAAGCTTGCACTCATCGCTTAATCAAACAGTGCATGCTAAAGCTTTGATTGATCTCGAGCTTAAGTATTGGTGAATTCATTGAATGTTTTCCAGTTTCAGTGGTGGAAGAACAAGATGAGGCAGACGTTGTACTGGACTACGACAACCGCAGAATTAAGCCGGAACCGGTTGATTATGATGAAGTGTATTTTAATGGTTCGTTTTTATCTCGCTATGTTGAGATAGTGTCAAATTTCAGTCATTCCCATCATAAATCTTATTGGAAAGCGATGAGTCCTTCATAATTTCCTATTTTCCCGCTCAAACTTCGTTGTTCCAATGAGCGAGTTTTCTGTTTAAAATTGGAAATAATATCACCAGGTTCCATTTTCATGATGTTATTGGACTATTGTTGAATCCTTTTTTTAATTTAAGAGAATGAAACAGGATCGATTGCGGATAGTGATGTTCAGCCTATTGCCATGAGGACGAGACGCTCAGGGAAGCCCAGAAAGAAAATAGCTAGCAGGACTGGTGGGTTATTTAGTGCTTATTGATGCAGTCATTGAATATTCGATTGAGAGGATTTAATTTCTATTATTCCCATCAGAAGAATGAAGGGTGGAGGGGTAAAGTTCGAAAGTTTCCTTTTATTACTTGAAGTCGTTCGAATGTTTGGTATTACAAACATTTTTGTAACAACTTTCACAAATGCTGTAAAATCATGGCCTTCATCAGGAGGGCGAGGCGACTTACCGTCAAATCGACAAGTGAAAGCAAGAGGTTCACGTGCAAGAACTCGTAAGGTGGAAAGTGACCTGTCGGATTAATTTCAATCGCATCGGTTCTGTTTCGAGTGTTTTTGATCAATCGCATATATGGTTCTTGAAGTGACTTGCTTTCTCATATGCCCAAATGTATCACAATTGTGCTCAGAATCGTTTGAAACTGGTCTGGAATGTACGGTTCGGTGTGAATCTAGGTTATTGTTCACCGCGTTTCGGCCTTATAAGTACATCGAGCATATGTTCATTCATCTTTGAATTTTCTGTTGAATTGCTTTCGGTTCTTTGCTTGCGTTTTGAGATCTCATATGTACCACTGTATCGCATGATTGATAAATAAGATGTGCCGCATTGAAATCAATTTCAGTTCCGTCGTAAACGTTGTATTGTAACTTAAAGGGTAATCGGTGAATGTCTGAGCGTGAAGCTAATGTTTTTATGTTACGTTTGAAATCTTTTGAAATTGTTTCATTCCGAATTTGTGAGTGATGTTCTATTGCAACATTTATTTATTACGTTGGATACTTTCTTCTCTTTTGGAAATTATGCTAGGGAATCTTATCGTTGGCATGTACACGGTGATGTTAATCGTTCGTTGTATTGTGAAATTTTATTATATTGTTAGGTATATTAGAAATTGTATTGCTATTTTTGTTCGTTTTGCTGATATTTGCTTAATGAATGCGGTGAATATTCTGAGTTCATTTCACTCCAACTAGTGATTCGTGTTTGGTCGTTAAGTTCCATTTTATGCTCATTTCATGCATTATTATGCAATATTGAATAAAATCTATCATCATGGATAACGTACATTTTCATAACACTAATTTTGTTTCATAGTGAGATGATCGTGGTGATAGCTTATGACAAATATATTTATTTGGATGATGAGCAAATTCTAAAATATATTCTGGCAATAGGTTTAAAGCATTTCCCAGAGAAAGAGGTAAATTCAAAGAAAAAAATATATGTTTCTCATAGTATTTGTGAGTTGAGATCCGATTCTAGTGCAATCTTCTCATCCTGAGGTTTGCATTCCAAATCCAGCACAATGTGATCCGTATTCGATGGATAGCTTTTCACTTTCACAACGTTCACTATTGTACATGTCCATAATTTGCCTTTTTGATCATGAATATTGTTCAGGTAACGAGTGCAACTGAAATTAAACTGCCTTACAGTTAGTCGCCATCCGATCGCTATTCAATTAGCTGTATTTAACAATGAGATGAAGTGACCCTTTTTCCGTACTGAAGGAATTTAATCTAACAATGAATCTTGAGACTGAAGAATTCTTTTGTGTGACATTCGCAGCGAATTAGGAGAGTCAGTAAACGATTTAGAATTGATTGTTTCAAGTGAAATTCTGCCGGTTTGATCAGATGTGAGAATGCATATGCACATTTGCGGGTGATATTCATTGGGAAAATGGATCTGAAGTGTCAATCGTGGTTGCCGAAGTGAACACTCACGTTATTGCGCAATCCAATGCAAACTCTCGAATAGCCAGATCAAGCGCAATCCATTGTTCGGCCAAGAATTCCGGTGAAACTCGAGCATTCGGAAGGGTTCTGTTCTCGATCTCTTCGATGATCGACGCTGAACGGCTGATTTTTCGTTGAACTGGTCTGTGCGCAGTGTAATCGCCTGAGAGAACGACTTTGTTCACTGATTGACTACTGAGTGAATGTAATTGAATTTCAAAAAAGCGAACTTTATTCAACGAAAAAAAAA